AACTTGCTGTATGTAAAATATCATAATTTAGTCACACTGTTTCTCATTACCTCTTAGACCTGATTCTTCAAAAGCAGAAACGTTTTTCCACACAAACCTATAAGTGCCTTGCATATGACACATTTTAATGTATTTTGATTTGTAACAAATGTATACCAAGAGTGCTTCAAGAAACCCCTTTGCCTAAAATTAGAAATAAAATCAAAATGTAAATACAAAAGTTCTTCACTTTAAAGCCAAAATAAAATAACCAATAACAGCAAAACAAGCTCACCCAATAACCTCCTTCGTCCAACATTGCAGCCATCAATAATCCCTCCTCAACAACTTGGGTAAATAGGTCTTTCAGCATGCCCAGTTCAACTAATTCAGGCTACTGCAGACAACAAATTTGAGGAGAAACAGGAAAGAATAGTAGGCTGCAAAGTGGAGGCCTCTGATGCTCTGCCAGAGCCTCCACTCTAATATTTATGGTTTTCAAATCAAATAGGCTACATCTACACTACATGCTTCTTGCACAAGAGCATGTTCACACCGCAAAGCACATTGCAAAAGCGAAGAGCTTTTGCGCAAGAGAGCATCCACACTGCATGGATACACTTGCGCAAGAAAGCTCTGATGGCCATTCATAGAACGGCCATCAGAGCACCTGTGCTTTTTCCCATAGGGAGTGTCCACTCTGTGCTTTTCCCCTCTGGAGCGTCCACACTTGCCTTTTTGTACAAGAACTCTTGCACAAAAGGGAGTTATGCCTCGTAAAAAGAGGTTTACCGACGCTGGAAGACCTACACTGGAAAGAGCCCTCTGTTCTGCCGTTTTTCTCATGATTTTCTTGCGCAAAAGCACATTTGAGGTGTGGATGCTCCACAGGGTTTTGCACAAAAACAGCTGGTTTTGTGCAAAAACTTTGTAGTGTAGACGCAGCCATAGATTAATTAATGGGATTGTAGCAGTATGGCATGGGGAGAACAGTCTCTCAAGCAGGTAAAGTCCTGGCCATTTAGCTTTTATAAACCAGAACTATAAATTCCACCAGGGCAGTCCTTGCTGATCGTACATCGCTGGTGGTGTATTTGCAGCATGCATGACCTAATAAATTAACTACTTTATTTTCTAGAGTGACTTAAACTGTAGTTTTACGATAATCTAATCTTGAAGTGAGAAAGGAACGTTTCACTGTAACCAGGGTTCATGTGTGAAAGAAATGGACTCAATCTCCTAGCAAGACAAAGAAAAAAAGCTGTCCATAAAATTATTAGATGATGATTTAACAGCAGCTGAAGACCCAACATCCAAGACCCTAGATCCGTGGTCACCAACCAGTAGATCGCGATCTACCGGTAGATCTCAGGGGCTCTAAGAGTAGCTCTTGAGCCCTCTCTGAACTGCGCGCCTGCGCAGTACATTTACATTAGATTTCCTCATTTGAGGAGCAGCTACTCACCGAGCAACAACACAGGTGAGTAGCTGCAAGGAATGGTGGGAGCTGGGAGTTCGGGAGGGCTGAAACACCCCAGCCAGCTGACTGTGGCTTTCAGCTGAAAGCGGCTGCCCCGCGCTCCAGCTGATTGGCAGCTTCTCCTCTGCGCCTGCCCACGTGGAGCTTGGTGCACCCTGGCTGAGCGCCATGGCCAGCTGGCCAGGCAGCCACTTCTCTTCCTTCCAGCCCGGTTGCCCTGCGCTCAGCCCAGGGAGGCTGTGTCTAGCTCCAGCTGTGCTGAAGCAAGCTTTCCAGGCTGAGTGCAGGATCACAGATGACCATCTCAGACTACAACCCAGACTTCAAGACACTGGCAGATACTGTTCAGTCACAGGTGTCACACTGAGTCTTTGTTATTGGAAGAAAAAATATATTATCAATACTTGATTTTAGATTTACAAATTAGCAGAGAACAAAATGTATAATTGTAAATGCTTCATTTGACATTTAAATAGCATGACCATTTAAAAACAGACCATTTATTTCATAACTATAAACATGTGATTTTAATTTTATGTATTGCATAATTTAAAAATAAACTGTTTAACAGAGTGTATAAGGGCTGAGGATAGCAAGTGATGGACAGGAGAATAGAGGGCGGGGCTTCAAAGAAGAGGCGGGGCTTCAAGGAAGGGGCAGAGCAGTAGATCTTCGCCTGTTCTGAGACTTAAAAAATTATCTTGGTTGTAAAAAGGTTGGAGACCACTGCCCTAGATTATGAAAAGTGGAAACACACACCATCAAGACAAAAGGTGGATCAAATACTCAACACAGCTCCTATTTGCTTCCCTCAAGCTACCAGCAGTGCTAAACTGAGTTTCAGCCAGTTATTTCTCATCCATGCCATAATGCCTAAGTGAGAGTCTATAACACAGATGTATACTTATTTATATAAATATTTTATCAGGTCAGTTTTTCCAGTACTTATACTATTATGTGCTATGGAGGTGTGCTATGTCTGCAATACTGTTCAACATTGCCACTGACTGGATAATGCAGTGTAAGCCAGAATACTTTCCAAGAAGCATTAAAAAAGACACCCTTCTCATCCTCTGAAGACCTGGACTTGCAGATGATCTTGCTCTCTTTATAACCATATATCCAACACCATATACAAGAAAAATCAACTCAACATGTTAGCCAGCACACTGGACTGAAAATCAACCGCAATAGGACAGATATCATGACCTTTAATATTGCATCACCATCACCAGTACAGATATTCTCACCAATATAGAAACATTCACAGACTTGAGCAGCAATATCACATCCTTGGGCAGCAAGGAAGCTGGACCAAGCCAAGATATCCAGAATAAAAATCAAGAAAGCCAGAAATGCCATCAAGAGCTTAAATACTGTCTGGGAATTGTAAAAATACAATACCAAAACCAAAGTGAGCATTTATCAGAACTGTGAACTTTCAGCATTATTTTATAGTGCAGAATTCTGGGCAATAAGAAAGTATGACATGTTCAAACTTCATTCCATACTCCCTGCCTTCAAAAAAAATCCTTCATGTCTTTTGGCCCAGAACAATTTCAAACCAAGATATACTGTCTTTTGGCCCAGAACAATCTCAAACCAAGATATACTGACACAGTGCAGCCAAGAGAATCTGAGCACTATCATTGCCAGAAGGCACTGGAGATGGAAACAATTGCCAAATGAAGCACATGGTCGATCCATCACTAGATGGACACCTGAAGACAAGTGAAAATTAGCCTACCCAAAAACATGGCAAAGAGCAGCGGAAGCCTGTGTGAAAAACCTGGGCCACAACTGGGGAACCATTGAAGAACTTGCCAGAAACAGACAGGAGTGGAGGAGCTTTGTCACTACCTTAAATGCCAGAGGTGTAATGGGAACATAGTGAAGATGCCATGGAAGTTATCATTTTAACACATTTAAGACAGCCTTATTGATACACAGGTTTGGATTTCCCTAGTAAAGCATAACATATTGCTTTAATTACAAGAGTCTCTAAACTTATGACCAAATTACAATAGCTCCCTTTTATTTCTCCTCATAAACCACAATGCCCCATATTCTAGGAGCAGTCTCCCAATTCACAGAGGATTTGGGGGGGGGGGGGGAACTCCTGACTGGCAGGCAGGAAGCAGTTGCCTCTAAAAATTCATACATACCTCCCCACATATGCAAACTATGATGATCCTTGCAAATGTATCAGTCACCAGGCCAAACTCTCTCCTCTGCTAAACCAAACTGCCTCACCACAGACATGAATTTCTTTAACAAAATATTAGGAAAACCACCATGATTAGAACTGTGTTCTGATTTACCCTAACATTTGACTTTTGTCACTGGGCTTAGGAGTCATTGCAGCCAGTTGCTAAAAGCAGCACCTTCCTGCAAAAAGGATCCAGGCCGTGGCACTTCTCCAAGGCAGAATCTCAGCTCTGAATAAATACCGCCTCTTGGGACCGCTTGCCTGGCTGGAGAGGCAGCCCCGGCTGTCCCCGAGTAGGGAAGACAGGACAGTTATCAGGAGGCCAAGCTCGGCTCTGTCCTCAGGGTCATTGCAGCCAGTTGCTAAAAGCAGCACCTTCCTGCAAAAAGGATCCAGGCCGTGGCACTTCTCCAAGGCAGAATCTCAGCTCTGAATAAATACCGCCTCTTGGGACCGCTTGCCTGGCTGGAGAGGCAGCCCCGGCTGTCCCCGAGTAGGGAAGACAGGACAGTTATCAGGAGGCCAAGCTCGGCTCTGTCCTCAGGCCCGAGCACTCACACGCCCCCGCGGGCAGCCCCAGGCGCACGCCGCATTGCCCCACGCCGCACACCCCCACCCGCTGCGGGCAGCGAGCGCCTCGCCGGGCCCG